AAGAGTGTGTTTTGAAGGTGTCCAATCACTTGTGCTTTTGTAGAAAGGACTTTTGTCGCTGACAGGAAAAGATGAAGTCAAACTAGTATATTTTAATTTAATGTAATATTCCAAGTCCAACCACGAATTCTTTAGCGTGGTAAATTGCATGCAGGTTGGCATTTGTAAATGATTTGACCCAATAAGTTTTGTGAAAAAAAGAGAGGATAATAATAATATATTAAATGCTTACAGTTTACATGTTTAATTTTTTAAAATAAAACTTCGGTATACTCACCGTTAGATTAGAACTGCACCTCATACAGTTTAATTATCAACTATAGAGGATCCTAATCCCAATGCCATATGAACTTTCTACTTTTTCGTTTCTTCTTCAAATATGTCTAATTGTCTATCTAATGCCAACTGAATTTCTATCTTCCATAGTTGTATTCCCTTTACGCTTTTAACGTTAATCTTTATTTAAACTTTTATTTTATAAGCTTCTTCCTCTTGATTTGAAACCCACCGTTCAAGTCTTTCGGTAAATTATTATTTTCTGTTATGATCGGGAAGAACCTTCTGCTATGATAAATATTAAAATAATTTCTAAACGTTTTCTTGTCAAAGAAAAGTTTTTAAAAGTATTTTTCTACAGTATAGTTGTTTGTATTTTATATATAAGGTTAAATGCTAAATTTTTAATATGATTTGAATATAATTATTATTTTATTTATAATATTAATTTAATTAAAAATATTCAAGTTATAATTACTTGATAAAAATAAAATTATGATAATATTTTAAAATTTTAAAGATTAGAGTGATATTGAGTTATAATTTTAGAAACTAAAGTGATACATTATTATAATTTTAGGAATTAAAATAATATTGTGTTATAGTCATATGTCACGTGAAACATATATATTACCTGTCATGCCCATGTAACATGTATCACTTCACATATTTATCACGTATATATCACATAATATTATCAAGACAGATAAATATTTTTATTAAAAAAATAAAACTTATTTAATAAATGAATTTAAATGAGTGATGAATTATATTTTTGGATACTTTTATTTTTAATTTTCATTAGAATCGAGAATTAAATTGAAAGCAATATATATTGGAAGACTAATTTTATTATTTACTCTTCTTATTTGATAAAAATTCTATGATTTTGATTTTTATTAAAAAAACATAATTTTGAATTTTTTATTAAGGCAAAAACGATAAAAATAACTTCAATCCTGAATTACTTGAATGTTGAAACGGATCCTTCATGGGCTTTAGGTTTCATAACTCAAAACCCGGTGGGTGATCATTATATAACCCGAGTTTAGGTTTGTCATGCCTATACGACACCGTTTGAGCAAACTAAACCTTCTCTAATCAGAATCTGAATTTCGACATTTCATGCCCTATTCCACAACGTGACTTCCTCCGATGTTAGAGGTAAATTTTTTGACCTCTGTTCCTTTCTTTTCTTTCTTAAGTGAATACCACTCGCTGCAGTGAGAGTATAGTTTTGGGATTCAAGAGAGTTTGTGATGGTGTGTTAGGGTAGGAACTTTTAATTGTGGAAAGTAATTTAAGAAGGGATTTTAAAAAAAACTGTGATAAGGTTTTCTATGCACCTTTCACTGTTCTTAGTGTCTCGTTGATTTGATTTATAGCATGCTTTAGTCTTTCAAATCCATACATGCATTGTAAGTTCACGAAGAACAAGCACTAGCGGATATATCCGAGTTATGAATTGTGATTATATCTGTTTTTCCTCTCTTGTTTAATTGTTTGGTATCTATGATTTGATGGTTCCTAGAAAAAATGTTAATTTTTGAAGCAGAATAATATGATTAACTAGATGGGAAATATGCAATTTGAATCTTAGAAATGACATGTGAATCAGCTTATTGGTGATCTTATCAAAATATAACAAAGAGAAATATAATTGTCTTGTTTTGTTTTTCTTCGGGTCTATCCTTGTATGTCTGAAACAAATGTGGCTCTCGTTGAATGAGAAATGGAGAATAGAACAAAATCATTTCCAATAGGAGCTTTCAACCACTTTGTATGAATATGCAGAGGACAGTGTCATATTAGATGTACAAAGGTAGATATAATCTATTCCAATGAAATAAAATGAGAAAATATGCCACCTCTTTTAGCTGTTGAAGAAAGATAATGCCTGTAAATGTTTGATTCATCAGTCTGTACAATCATTGTTTACAAATCAAAAGTAATCATTACATGTAGTCATATACCACATTTTCTATGAACAAGGAATTCATAATACCAGTACATCTCACCATCAATCTGTGGGGAGACAGACAGGTAAGCACCACTATGCATAAACTTCAACTTGAATAAGTAATATGTAAATCAGTAAATGTAGTAATAATTTGAACCTCTGAAGTATACATTATCATTAACAAACGAATACATGTTCGAAGATCTTCCTGTTCTTATTTGAAGATGTCTACTTTTATTAAAGGCATTTAATCAGCAGATATTTATATATGATCTAACATGTGTTTTTGAAAAGCAGTATTTTAATTAAGAAGTTATAACATTAATTTGTGTTGTCCTGGAGGATTTTTTAGACTATTTTCTTTTGATTAAGTCTTCTGGAATTTGCCTTTAGTCAATACCAACCACAATTGGGCCCAAATAGGAATCCTTTCCACCAACGCCATCATAGGCTTTGATCAACCTCACAATCTCAGTTGTATGATCGAGAACATGTAGTTTTGTTGAACATAAAGCAATACTTGCAGAACCCTTCTTTCCTTTCTCACTGGACTTCAACTTCCTCTCACTGTTCTTGGTCAGAAATCATCAAAGGTTATTAAAATTTGGAATCAAGTCTTAAGCATGCATATGCGTAAAATAACAAAGTACAAAAGGCAATATCAATTCGGTATTCGCTAAACAAAAAGAAAAAAAGACGGTTTAAAATTCCATCTGGTTATGGGAAGAGAGAAAAGTTATTAGGAGTTAGTCATTTTCAGTTAGTGGCTCGTTTACTTTTCCAACTAGACAGGGGCTTAGTGTTCAAGTCACATTCTTTAAATATTGTATTATGCAGAATAATTACTACCCTTAGAAGAAAGGTAAATTTTGAACTCAGCTTATTAGATTGCTATTGTTTATTATTTGCTTCACTGTTACAAAGTTGCCAGTAAATGAAGTTAGTTTGAAGTTTTTATTTGTGTCCTGTTGGCATGGTTTGCCTATTTGACTTAAGTTTTTTTTTACATTTAATCATTTCTGGATGAATTAAATTGGATGCTTTCTTTGTTTAATAACAACAATTGAATTTTAGCTGATGAAATGGGGCTTAGAAAGACAATACAAACAATATAGCAGATAACATATCTAATGAAACACAAGGGTGTGGCTGGTCTCCATTTAGTTGTTGCTCCAATGGCTCTTCTGCCAAATTGGATCAATTACTTTACAACATGGGTTCGTAGGTATGCCCAGAGCAGCCATTGCAAATTATTTCCTCCCCATCTCTGTTTGTGGAGAGAGGGAATACAATTCTGTTTGTGAATTCTGCACATCATATTCACTTTCAATTTTCAAATTACTTGTGCCTTTTCTCTTTGATTCAACATCACAACATTTAGATCAATAAGGCTTATTTGTCTTTTCATGTACAGCTAAATATTTAGCTTTCCAATTTGATCTGCTTGATGACTTGATAATCTCTGTTTCACAATGTACTGTGGGTTTTCAGTTGAGAAGCATATTAAATTTTACTGAGATATTTAATAAATGTATCTTCATTTGTTGTAAGCAGATTTTGTTTCCCTTTTTTTGTATATAATTGATTTTTTTTTTCATTTGCTTTTTACTAGTGTTCATAAAAGGAAGAGTAGTAGTAAGCAGTAAGAACATTCATCTTAGATATGAATTCAGTTGCTAGGAGTTTATCAAGCTTATTCAGACATTCAGGTTTCACAACTGAACCCTTCAATAGTGCGCATCATCAAATGCAACAGCTTCAGCAATGCAGAGGCATTAGAGTGAAAGTCTTAAATGGGAACTTGGAACAGGCATTGACATTGATGCAGCGTAAGATGCAAGCAAGTGGGATCGAGAGGATGATAAAGAAAGAACAAAGATTTCATATCAAAAACTCTGAGAAGCGTGTTTTGGCTCGAAAGAACTTGGAACGGAGGCTTCGATCTGAGGATCTTGCTAAGAAACTTAAAGCTATTATGATCAAGAAAGTCAGGTATTTAACATTGAAGATATTAATTTGGGATCAATTTAGCCTGCAATATTTAACTTGAAATAGTATAATTTTTGCATAAGATCAATTTAGCCTGTAATATTTAACATCGAAGATATTAATTTGGTATCTGTTGAATTGTTCACTACTTAATTCCAAGTTTGGATGTTATGGTATTCTATATGAAAAACCTTGAAATGCATAGGCACGTCTTACTTTGAAAAAATTATTTTTAAATTTACATGTCAGTTATTTAAAAATTTGTTGACCAAAAACAAGTTATTGAAAATATTTATGGCTTGAAGGGGCTTTCAACTTCTAGTCTCCTAGACGAATTCATTTCCTACCAAATGTAAAGGTATTTTTTGGTTGTTAGTATTATCTCATACTAATATTCGTTTCTCCTGTTTCAAGTTGGTGTCATCGTATTTGAAACTGTGGTTTACTATAATATTGTTGGGTACTTGAGAGGTTTTTACACTTTGGTTTACTATAGTTTGAATTGGATCAAATGCATATTATCATGCCAGCTTGTGGATTTTACTCCACCTTCATTCTCTTTGTGGCTTTGCCTAACCGATTACCCCTTTGGTCTTTGTAATGTTCATATTTTATAAGATTTTATTTTGCTTCTAGTTCTTACTTCTTATACATTCTATTGCAATATATGGCAGGGGTCTATGAGAACGTTGCACTTTGTGTCAGAAATGGCAGGTACAAGTGGCAGTTATTTTATAATTTGTATGGGGACACTGAAGTTGACACATTCTTTACAATTGTGTATCGGGTTATATGTACTTTGATGGATGTGAATTTTGCTATTAGATGCTTTTGCAATCCAAATACTACAAAGAAACTAAAACATTTTATAATAAGTTTCTTGAATATGGGTCAAAATGTTGAATTTTCCGAGGTTGTGATGGAAGCAGTTTTCAAGCTGCTGTTGTATGCATTATCCTTTGTTTTTTTATCTGGATAATATGTTCGTCACATAAACCTTAAAAAAAAAGAATTAACACATTTCATGGAATCATATGATGTCACTTGTTAAAATAGCTTATAAATATTTTTCATTCCAAGAAGCGAAAAAGATTAGAAATAGATATAGTAAGAGCACAAGACTTGTAATCAAATTTGTACCAAAAGTTATTATTATTATTATTATTATTATTATTATTATTTAATTAAGCTAATAAAAATTGACATATTATTAGTGTTGATGGCATTTAAATTAGAACGGTGTATCAGTTTTGCCTTATTTATTTATTTATACAAGTGAGGGGCAAACAGTCCTCACAAACTAAATAAATGCCAAATAATTAGCATTATCTTATCTAGCAATGAAAAAAGCACTCTTTGTTTTTGTGAAAATAAATAAATGAATAAAATAAAATAGTTATTATTTTGTATATGTAATTTTTTTTTCTGTTTTATTCATAAATTTATTGGTAAAAAGATTAGAATATGAATATAAAGATATAATCATTGTTAAAGAGGATACCAAGAGGGAATATATCTTTTATATAGTTATAATTTCATGGAAGAATTTCTATGGTAACAGGGCTTTTTAATTTTTCACGCAAAAAGGGTAATTTTTGTACAAAATTTCTGCGATAGCAAGTCTGATGTCTTTTATATTAATTATTCAAAATCAATTTATACTGGAGAGCAGAACAAATTTGAGTGGATAAATGGGGTCCAAAGGGAAAAATAACGATATTATCCTTATATCTTATCAGAAGCAGAAATGCTCCTCCGTTACTCTCTGCATCTCCCAATTGTATCTTCTCACTCACGGAACTCTAACCGCAACCCCAACACGAGCGGTTACATAAAGTTCCGAACGAGGTACCGCGAAAACCTGCGATACCTTCGAGCCTTAACCATAATCGATCCTAAAACCAATCCCGAGGATCTCCCTCTCCCCAACGACGTGGACCACATCATCGACACCATCACATTCCTCAAGTCTCGCTCCTTCTCCGACGCCGATATTCCCCGCCTCAACTTCCTCACTCCTCAGCTCTTCACCACCGCCGTCCTCCCCTCCGACATAGCCGCCGTATTCCGCTTCCTCGCCGACGACCTCGGTGCCAACGAATCGGAGTCCCGCGGTCTGGTCGTCCGCTGCCCCAAACTCCTCTTCTCCCACGTCGACCTCTGCCTCCGACCCACGTTGCAATTCCTCCGCCAGGTGCCCTGCATGGATTTCGTTTCTTTATTTTATTTTAAATTATCTTCATTCTCTTTTATTATTTTACATCAAAATGTGTTGTTCTGTAACGTACTTTAATATTTAAAATTACAGAAATGCATTGAATTTTATTTTTTTTGTACACTGAGATTCTTTTATTTTAATTAATTAAAAAAATACCTTAGCTTTTTTTTTTTAAAAAAATTATTTGTAAAATATGTTATATGTTTAAGACAATAATTTAAATTTGTTTTTTTTTTAAAATTTATTTATTTTTAAAAAAATTTAAACATTTGAAGTTTATAATTTTTTTCATCCACTTTTTCTCTTTTTAAGCTGATTCATTATTTACAAATTGATTTTTATTATTATATCTAAACAAATTAACATCTTATAATAATAACTGATTATATAAATAATTATTTATTAAAATAATTTAATTTTTACAATTTTTTTAAACATAATCTAATAAAACACAACCTAATAAACTATGATTATTGATCGGATTATTAGTATAATATCACTGTATTCCAACAATATCACTATTAATACAAATATTTTCATAATGTTAATTAACTTAAATTTCTTTTAATATTTTTTTTACATAAGTTATAATAAAAATTAAAAAATGATTAAATTTTAATATAAGAAAGTTTTACGCTCTCAAAGTCAATGTATTTAAATTGAATCCATCGTTTTAGTAACAATCTCGAGAATTAAAATATTTTTTTTTTTTTTTATCATTTTAAAGATTAAATTAATTTATATTAATAATTTTAACCATTAAGTTAGCGTATTATTTTTCTATTTTTTTGACTCATTATTTTTCTATATTTATAAGTTTAAGAATTGTGTTTGGTTATCATTCATATTTATAATATATAAATTAAGAAAATAAATTTTATTTATTATCCTTATTTGTAATTATTAGTATTTCTAATTTTTATCTATTTATTTTTATGATTTAAACTGTTGTTTCCTTTATCACAAGGATAAGATAAAAATAGTAAGATTATTTTAAAATAATATTTCTTGAAAATAAAATCCAATATATGATTTTATACATAGTTTGTTTAGGTTGGAATTGGCGAGCTGAACCGGCCCACGACCCGGAACGCACACTTGTTAAACACGCGTGTTGATAAGCTTCACGCAAAGGTTCAGTTCCTTCAGGAGTTGGGCTTTTCGTATGAGGAGGCTCTCAGGGCTTGTGCCAGGTTACCGGCCATTTTTGGGTACGACGTGGAGAACAATCTGTGGCCCAAATATGTGTACCTTGTCAAGGAAATGGAGAGGGATTTGGAGGAGTTGAAGAACTTTCCTCAGTACTTTGCCTTCAGTTTGAAGGACAGGATTGTGCCAAGACACTTGCATTTGAAGGAGAGGGGTCTTAGGATTCCCTTGAACAGAATGTTGATGTGGGGTGATCAAAACTTCTATGCCAAGTGGAAGTGAACTCACCTAGTAAACTTCAAACTCATCATATAGAAACAATTGTTGTTTGTATATTTGTACAAGATGAAAGATCTCTTAGAATGTGAGAAGCTAACATATTAACAATAAATTTCAAGGATTTACACTTTCTTAAATATATTGTTTAACATGTTTTTATTATTTATTTATCTTTTAAAAAAAATCAATGTATTTACTTTTACGATAGTTACATTTTATGAGTGGGTTGCTAAATATATTGTTTTTAGGTTTAATTTTTTTCAAAAACTTGACTGATTATTTTTAATGAGATCTCCTATCTTAATTATGTTTTTTATTCATAAGATTTGAACTCAACTTAGAAAGTTTAAATCAATTTCACTCGAATCAACAACTTATTAGATATTAATTTTTTTTTATTACAAAACTACTTTTGTGATAATTTAGACATTTATTAGATAATGGATATTCTTTGTCAAGATAAGCTGGATTTGGTTAATGGTAGCTCATCAATTTGTTGCTCTTGCATATCAACCATATAGACTTGTGTGTTAATAATTTGTAGAAGATGAGGTGTACAAAATTTAGGGTTGCGAATGTCAATACTTCAAAATTCTCTACAACCCTAGTGAAATTCTTCGCCCCCTGCCAAGTTCAAGTACTTATAAAAAGATAAATTTGGCATGTAATGAGAGATTTGACCCTAATAGAATTAGTTTGTTGAAAGTTAAAGATCTAGAGATTCCAAAACCCTTATGTGAATTGGTATTTCCCCTATATCAAATAATTATGGATCCTGGTTTAAAAGTTGCAATGTAATGATGTTTAAATTTATAAATTAAAGCAATTAATCTAATTGTATGTTGGAACATAAATTTCTCTCTGTAACCCAATTCATCATAGATAAATCCTTATGAAAAGTTGTTAGTTTAGTTCAACTGAAATCCATTTCCACCCAAAGAGGTATGAGATGAGCAACCCATCATCAGTATTCTTTGTAACATTTGTTGTAAATTATAATCTTACACAAACATTATGGCATTGACCCTGACCAGAAAGTATTATATACTATATTTGTTCCGGTCACGGGATGTGCTAGGGTTTTTCCTAGATCAAGCCGCAAAGCCAGAGCA